GCGGCGGCGTCAAAGAGCGCGCAAGGCCGCGGCGCACCTCGGCCTCCTCCGGGACGCGATGCGCACGCGGGGCAAGGCGGGCAAGTGCACGTCGCGGGCGTTGGCCCCGGACGTCAAGGTCGCCGCGGACCACGCGAAGCGCTTCCTCGAGTACTTCAACCTCAGCGACGACGACCGCACGGACAGCGACGACGAGGCCGACTACCACGACCTAACGAAATACTTCTGCGGCGAGGGCGGCGCCGTGCGCCGCGAGGAGCAGGAGCGCATCCTCGTCGAGAAGCAGACCATGTCCCAGGACCTCATCGACACCTGCGTGCGCGAGGGGTGCCTCTTCGACCGGGGCCACGCGAGCCGCCACTCGACGATCGCCGCCCGGCGGCTGTCCGTCGCGGAGCCCGTCATCGCGCCGACGCTCCAGAGCCTGGCCGAGGGGAGCGGGTCCGTGCTCGGCGGGCCGAGCTCGCGGAGCCTGGCCGGGGCGAGCTCGCGGAGCCTGGCGACGGACGCGAGCGCGCGGAGCCTGGCGGCCGAGTCCGCCTCCGCGCCCGCGCCCGCGCCGGGCCTCGCGGGCGACGACGCGAGCATGGGCTCCCACCACACGCAGCACTCCTTCCTGAGCAAGGTGTCGAGCGACGACACGAACAAGGTGCTCGAGGAGGACCAGCGGCTCCGCATCGCCGCGCTGCCGCCGCCGCCGACGCGCGCGGACCTCCGCGCGAACCGCGACGCGGCGCTCAAGCTGCTCCACGACCTCTTCTACGTGCGCGGCGTGCGCCACCTCGACAGCGACCTCGCCGACGGCCGCTGGCGCGTCTACAGCGAGAAGCACCTCGTCCACGGCGAGCTCGGGGCCCTGCAGGACGAGCACCGCGCGATCTTGGAGGAGCTCGTCAAAAGGCGGCGGTCCAAGGGCGTCGAGTCGAGCGACGTCGACGACTTCCCGGAGCTGCTCGCGGCGCTGGGCGCGCTGCGGGCCAAGGCGCGGGACACGAAGGGCGCGACGGAGATGCTCCTGCTCGCCGCGACGGAGCGCGACCGGCGGCGGGACTTGGCGGAGCACGCGCAGGCGAACGTCGGCAAGCAGGAGGCGCTCGTCGCGGCGGCGAAGAAGGAGCTCGACGAGGCGCGCGCCCGGCTCCGCGCCAAGCTCGCGCCGCGGACCACGGCGCTCGGCGGCGGCACGCCGCCGCGGCATCTCAGCGTCGTGGCCAAGGCGCGCGACGCGCTCGAGACCAAGAAGCTCAAGGCGAACCTCGCCGACGCCGAGGCCGCCGTGCGCAACGCCGGCGCGGGCCTCGAGCGGGCCAAGGACGTGCTAAAAGCGGCGACGAAGCTCAAGGCCTCGGAGAAGGAGAAGAAGCGGCCGCGGTCCGCGACGCGGCCGCGGTCCGCGACGCGGCGCCGCCCGGGCTCCGCGACGAGCCGGCGCCAGCCCGCGTCCAAGAAGCACGCCCCGGCGGAGCACGCGCCGCCCAGCGGCTCCTACCAGCTGCCCGGCGCCGGCGCGCGGACCGCGAACCACCGCCTGGACCGCGACCTCCGCGCCCGGGCGACGCGCGTCGTGCCGCGCGACCTCGGCACCCAGGTCGCGCCGCTGGCGGCGCAGGACCTGCCGACGGCGCGGTGGCGCGAGGTGCCCCTGCGGCCCCAGGACCTGACGGCCGTCGACAGCCTGGAGACCATCGTCTACCGGTCGTCGGAGGCCACCGACGTGGGCGGAACGCCCCTCGCGTCCATGATCTCGCGCGTCGCCGCGGACCCGTCGACGATCGCGCGGCCGGGCACGCTCCTCGACGACCCGCGGCCCTACATCTACTCGGCGATCCGCTCCGCGGCGCCCCGGGGCGGCAGACTCGACGGCGCGCCGCCGCCCGCGCCGCTGCCGCGGCCGCGGAACTGCCGCGAGCGCTGGCGGCCGACGCACGAGACCTACAGCGTGCTACCAAACGCCCGACAACACGCGCTCCCGCCGCGGCCCGACGCCGTCTCCAAGGCCGGGAAGCGCGTCGACGCGCTCGAGTCGGACGACCCCGCGCAGTTCGCGGCGTTGGAGGTCAACGGCGAGGTCCGCGGCGCGCGAGAGCCCGTCGAGACGACGTGGACCGTCGCCGCGGCGCGCGAGACGGAGCTGTCGACGCGCTTCCTCGGGCCCCGGCCCTAACACATGTTAGAAATGCTCCCGAAGGTCGTCTTCGGGCGTCGCCTGGATCCGCGAGCCGGAGGACGAGTAGGACGGGTTCACGGGCGACGCGTTGTCGAGCCGCGCGCGGCCCTTGACGGGCGTCTCCGCGCGCCAGAGGTCGGTCCCGTCCGGCGCCAGCCCGACGTCGACGCCGCCCGGCGACGCGAGGGGCGGCGACAGCGGCGCGGGCGCGTCCGCGCCGAAGCCGGCGTCGTAGCGGCCCGCCGCGCGCGCGGCGCCGCTCAGCGCGACGGGGATCTTCGACGGCAGCGTCACGGGCTGGGCCCGCGGGAACTGGAAGGGCCGCGTCGGCGGCGCGAGGCCGCGCAGGCCCGGCCGCTTCTTCCGCTCGCGCGTGTCCTCGCGGAGTGAACTCGCGCGGCTCCGGCCCGCGGCCTCGCCCAGCGACGAGTCGTCGCGCGACAGGGACCGCGCGGCGTCGCTGTCCGCGCGGCTCCGCGACGGCCGCGGCGTCACGCTCGTCCGCGTCCGCGCGCCGGACGCTTTCGCGGTCGCCAGATCGAGGTTGATCGCGGACGTCCGCTCTCTGGAAGCGGCGTCGAGGCGCCGGAGCTCGTCGCGGAGCGGCGGCGCCGACGGCGGCGGCGACGACGGCGGCCGGGGGCGCGGCGCCTTCGGGGATGTCGGCGTCGCGGCCGCGCGCCGCTCGCCGCGCGGCGACGGGTCGCGCGACGGCGCCGCGTCGGGCCGCTCGCGGGGCGTCCGCGCGTTTCGCCGCGGCGACGCGTCGACGCCGACGTCGAGCTGGTGCGCGTCGAGGCAGGCGAGGGCCTCGAGGGCGCCGTCGGGCCGCGCGTCGCGCTCGCGGCGCCGCTCGAGCGACTCCGAGGCGTCGACGAGCTCCTCCTCGAGGGCCTCGATGTAGCGCTTCTGCTCCTCGACCTTGTCCCGGAGCCGGTCGACGTCGTCGCGGGCCCGCGCGAGCGCCGGCGCGAGGTGCCGCTGCTCGTGGACCTCGTCCCTTAAAAGCTGGTTCGCGTGCTCGCCGTCCTCGAGGGCCGCGCGCGCGGCCGCCGCGTCGTCGAGGGCGTCCCGCAGGGCGCGCGCCCGCGCGTCGTTCGACTCCTGGAGCTCCTTGTTCTCCGCCTCCAGGATCTCCACCATTTCTTCTAGTTCTAAAATCGCCTGGACGCCCGTGGGGCTCTCGGGCGCGTCTTTCAGCTGCGCCTCGAGGTCCTCGATCTGCGCCTCGGCCTCGGCGAGCTGGCGCGCCTGCTCGCGCGCCTCGCGCTCCTTCTCCCGCGCGTACTCGACGAGCGCGTTCAACGCCTCGCGGCCCGCGGCGCTGTCGAAGTCGAACTCGCCGAGGAGCGTAGAAGCCCAGCGCTCGAGGTGCGACTCGCCCGCGCGGTCCCTCTTGTCGATCTCCTCCTCGGCCTCCAGGAGGAGCGCGCCCTTCTGCCGCGACTCGGCGTCCTTCTCCCGGGCGTACTTGACGAGGGCGCTGAAGGCCTCGCGGCCCGCGGCGGACTCCATGTCCAAATTGCCCATGAGCGTGCTCGCCCAGGCCTCGAGCTGGCGGTCGGACCGCCGCGTCGGCGACGTCGGCAGCTCCGGCATGGTGCGGCAGATGTGTTCCGCGCGTGGGGTCGACGGCCGGCGCTCCCAGCGGGCAGCCCCAGCACACTCCAGACGATTCGTTTGACCGTCCTGTACAAGTTCGATAACGTCAAGGTGCACAATAAGTTGCACCTCTCTATTTGCCACGATGTGTAATCCTTGCGCCGGGCGCACCACGTCGCTGCGCTGAAGAGATGCATGAAGCGGCGCAACGCAGCGATGCACCGGGCGGCGGTGATGAAGCGCGCGCCATGACTGCGCGCCGGCGCTCGCTCCGGCGACGCATCGACGCCGTCGGCGCGTGCCGCTTCCTGCGCCTGGGCTTGGAGCTCGCCTTAATCACCACCTTCGCCGTGCTCGTCGTCTACCACTCGAAGGACGGCTGCCGCATCGCGCGGCGCAGCCGCGAGGGCTACCCCATGCAGTACAGCAACATGCTCTGCTGCCCGACGCCCTACGCGATCTCGAGCTTCGGCTACGGCGCCGCGGCGCTCGCGGGCGCCGTCGGCCTCGGCGCGAAACAGCGCGGCAGCTCCGTCGCCGCGGCCGCGACGGAGGCGCTCGGCGTCGCGTGCTGCTGCTGCCGGCGCCGCTGCGCCGCGGGCCCCCTCGCCGTCGCGTTCTGCGGCCTCATGCTCTTCGGGTTGGCCGTGCTGGCCCTCTTCAAGACCGGCGGCTGCGTGTCGTACTGGTACATGCACTCCGTCGGGTCGTTCTGTTTCTTCACCTTCGGCTTCGGGCTCCTCTTCGTCCAGGTCTTCGCGCGCCGCGGCGACGGGGCCGGCTGCTGCGGCGGGGCGCGGTGCGCCCGCGACCTCGCGTTCTTCGCGGGCTGGACGCGGTCCAAGGCCATCGCCGCGCTGGCGGGCCTCGCGTCGCTGGGCGTCCGCGGCGCGGACCCGCTCGCGTCCGAGTACATGCAGATCGCCGGCATCTTCCTCGGCGTCGCCGCGTTCGTCCGCGACGTCGACGTCGGCGCGGCGGCGCTCGCCGCCCGCGAGGCGGAGAAGCGCGAGCGCGCGCCGCCGGAGAAGAAGCTCGACGAGGAGGCGCCGGTGTTTCGCGACGACGAGGACCTGCGCTGGCACGCCGTCAACGCCGCGGCGGCCGACCACGACGCCGCAGGCGACGCCGACGACGGCTTCCTCGCCGACGACGCCGCGGGCGACGCGGACGACGGCTTCCTCGCGTGCGCCTGCGTCGGCTATTAGCTTTTATCTTTTTTACGGGCGCCTCACTTCTGTGGCGTGAAGGTCGGGAGGTCCGAGTCCTTCTTGGACTTGCCGCCGCAGACCTCCTTGAGGGACCGGCCCTTGGTGACGATGGCGCGGCGGATGAAGATGGAGCACGCGCTGAGCGCGGAGATGCCGCCGATCCAGTAGCCGAGGCCCGCGAGGACGAAGCCGCCGCCGATGATCGTCTCGACCTCGTCGTCGTCGTCGTCGTCGTCTTCCTCGGGCTCGTCGTCGTCGTCGTCGTCGTCCTCGTCGTCGTCGTCGTCGTCGTCCTTGCCCGCGTCGCGGTGGGCCTGCTTGTTCGCGTCGTGCTCGACCTTGGTCCGCTGCGGCGCGGCCCGGTGGAGGTGGCGCTTCTTCTTGTTCTCCGCGAGCTTCTTGGCCACGGCGGACCGCGCGCGCGACGGCCCGCCGCGCTTGTTCTTCGCGGTCCGCGACGGGATGCGGCGCCGGCTCCGGCCCTTGAGCTTGCGGCCCGTGGCGCTGCGCCCGGCGTCGTCGGCGAACTCGAGGTTCGAGCCGTCGTCGCCCTCGGTCTCCGCGAGCTCGGCCTCGGCGTCGTCGAGGTCGTCGGCGACCTTGGAGTCGCCGCGGCGGTGCTCGGCCGCCGCGCGGATCGCCGGGTCGACTTCGTCGGGCCTCAGGAGCCCGCGGGGCGTCTCCTCCGGCGGCGGGTCGTCGGACGCGGCCTCGGCGGCGGCCTCGGCGGCCTCCAGGAGCGCGGGGTCGAGCGTTTTTGGCGCGACCTTGGGGAGCGACGGTTTCGCGAGGGGCGGCGCGTCGTCGTCGGCCGCGGCCTCGGCCGCGGCCTCCGCCGCTTTCAGGAGCGCGGGGTCGATGGCCGGCGCGGCCTTGCGGGTCTGGGCCCGCTGGCGGTTCGCCGGGCTCGGCGCCGGCGCCTTGCCCTTGTTCCGCGCCTTCTCGACCTTGGCGGGTAAAGGGCGCGCGGCCTTGGGCACGGCCGCGCGCGGCGGCATGCCCGCGACCTCCGTCATGTCCGTCGTCAGGAACGCGCCGGCCCAGCGTTCGCCGGGGTTGTCGTCGCTGCGCAGGGGCTTCGCGTCCCAGCCCGGGGGGACCGCGAGCCAGATGTCCTTCTGATTGTAGGGCCAATCCCTCGCCATGTCCCTCGGCTTGAAGTGGACGAAGACGGACGCGTAGAAGTCGCCCTCGAGCGCACTGGACCGCCCGTGGGGGCACTTGGCCGACTCGTACAAAAGCATCTGGCCCGGCTTGAGGGCCACGCTGTGCCGCAGGCCGTCGTGGCCCTCGATCTCGATGGGCCACGGCTTCGCCTCGTCGTCGTAGGCGTGGTCGACGTGGAGGATGCCGGAGACGATGTGCGTGTCGACGCGGTCCGCGTGGAAGGCGAGGGACGCGCCGCGGTGGTAGGCGCGCATGCCGTAGGCCGTCACGGGCGTCAGGCCGCCCTGTACGGTCGGCACCCACGCTTCCATCGTCGGCAGCAATTCTTTGAGCAAATCGCGCTCGCCGTGGTTCACGAAGGTCGGCCCGTTGGCGCCGTAGATGCCCTGGACCTCGCCCTCCTTGCGCGCGCGCTCGAGGCCCGCGTGGAGGCGCGTCTTCAGGCGCTCGTGGAGAGCCGGGTCGATGTCGACGACGTCGAAGCCGTTTTTGGTGAAGTTGGGCACGGACCGGGTCTGCGTGTACTGGACCCAGTTGTCGAGGCGCTCCTGGTAGTGCTCGAGGCCCAGGATCTCCCGCTTCCGCTCCTCCTGGCGCTGCGCGTAGGCCGCGGGCTCGCCGGGGAAGGACCAGGTCCAGCCGGCCTGCGTGCGCATCTCCAGGCGCCGCGCCTCCTTGACGGACCCCCAGCCGCCCGTGAACCCGACCTCCTCCGCGCGCTTCAGCGGCCGCTCGCCGAGGTCCGCACACGCGACGGCCGCGAGCGCGACGAGCGCTGCTCGACGCATATTATTTGGCTGCATGCCTCGCCGGCGCCCCGCACAAATCCGGCGCCGCGAGGTCTGCAGCATCGCGATGGTGAACTCGTTGCAGCGCGAGCGGCAGCATGGGCGCGCCGCGCCTGCCCTGGTGGCTGCCCCTCGTCGTGCGACTGCGCGCCGAGGAGAGCGCCGACCTCCGCCTCCGGGTCGTGGACCCGGGACGCGACGCCGACGACGGCCTCGTCGTCGGCTCCGAGGCGCGCCTCGTGCTCCACTCCGTCGCGCACGAAGACGAGGCGCTGTGCCTGTCGATCAACGGGCAGCCCGACGTCTGCGCGGCGGCGCGGCCCGACGGCGGTTTCGACGACCTGCTCCTCTCCGGCTTCGCGCCGGGCACGCACGACATCGCCGCGCGCCTGGGGCGCCGGAGCGCGCGGCGCGCCGTCGACTTTTTGCCCGCGGCCGCCGAGGCGCCCGGCGGCGACGACCACGTCATACGGGACCCGCTCGCCCTCGCGCCCGACGGCGCCCGCGAACGGCGGCGCGTGTGCGTCCTGGCGAACACGCTCGAGCGCCACTCGCAGAACGAGATCTACGCGCGGCTCTCGCGGACGCTGCGCCGCGACCGGTGGATGTTGGAGTGGTTTCTACCGCTCAACGAACGGGACCGGCCGCCGGGCGACGGCTCCGTCGCCGGGGAGCTGGGCGGCGCGCCGGTGCGCTTCGTCGACCTCGCCGGCGCCGACTTTACGGCGCTCCGGCGCGAGCGATTACGGGGCGAGCGCCGCGCCGGCGCCGCCGCGTGGGCCGCGGCGAACGGCGACGCCGCGGCGGCGCTGGGCACGTGCGACGTCGCCCTCTACGCGAACACGCGCGACGACCGCGACGTCGCGGCGCTCGCGGAGCTCGCGGAGGCGCTGGGGCCGCCCGGGTCGAAGCGAGTCATGGAGCTGCCGAACCTCGACCCGCCGCGCGACGGCGCCGTCGACGCCTACGTGGCGCCGTCGGCCTTCGCGGCGACGCACGCCTCCGTCGCCGCCGCCGCCGGCGACCGGCCCCGGGGCGTCATCCCGCCCGCGGCGCTCGAGGCCGGCGCGTTCTCCGACGGCGACGGTCGAAGGGACGGGGCGTTCGTCGTCGCGACGCTGGGGCGCCTGAGCGTCGAGCGGTCGCCGGGCCTCTTCGTGCGCGCCGTCGCGGCGCTGCGGCGGCGAGCCACGTTCCGGAGCGCGCGGCGCCTGCCGGGCGAGGCGCGCGACGGCAAAGCGACGCTCCGAGCCGTCGTCTACGGCGACGGGCCCCTCCGGGAGCCCCTCGAGGCTTTGGCGGCGGAGCTCGGCGCCAACGTCGAGTTCCGCGGGGGCCTGGCGCGGGCGGACGTCGCCGCGGCGCTCCGCGACGTCGACGCGCTCCTGCAGCCGCGCGCCGCGGGCGAGACGTTTGGCGTCGCGAACGCCGAGGCGGCAGCCGCGGGCGCGGCCGTCGTCGCCTACGCGCGGAGCGGCGCGGCCGAGTCCGGCGGGCCCGACGCCTTTCTCGTCGACGGCCTGGATCCCGAGCTCTACGCCGCCGCCGTCGAGCGCGCGTTTTCGGACGGCGCGAGGCCCGCGCGGGCCCCGGCCGCGCGGCGCGCCGTCGAGGCCGCGTTCTCGCCGGCGAACTTCGCGGACCGCTACGACCGCTACCTCGCCTACGTGCTCGCGCCGCCCCTCGTCCTCGCCTACACGGACGCCGCGGCCTACGCGGCGCCCCTCGCGCGGCGCGCGCTCGCCGCGGCGCGCGGCCGCGCGGTCGTCGCGGCGCCCCTCGCGGCGGCGACGGCCGCCGACGTCGTGCTCGCGGGCTGCCTCGACGGCGGCTGCCGCGACGGCTTCGACGCGCCCTGCGCCGCGGCCGCGGCGGCCGCGGCCGCCGCCGCTCGGTCCCTGGGCGCGGCCGCGGCGCTCGTCTGCGGCGAGGCCTGGGACCTGGCGCCCGCGCGGCCGCTCTTCGACGCCGTCCTCGCGACGGCGCCGGGGCCCGGCGACGCCTACCTGCCCGTCGCGGCGACGGCCTTTGGGGAGCTCGCGGGCTTCGCGCCGGAGGATCTCGTCGCGTCGTCCGCGGCGCGCTTCGGCGGCGCCGCGGCGCTCTTCGCGGCGAAGCGGGGGGTGGGCTATCTCTACTACCGCTGCCGGGGCCGCCGCGAGGCCATGGCCGCCGCGCTCGCCGACGCCGGCGTCGCCGTGGACGCGCTCGGCCGCTGCCGCGGCGGCGGCGACGCCGCGCCGCGCGAGGCCCACGCGGGCGACCGTTTCGCGGCCAAATGGCACGACGCCGCCGTCGCCGCCTACGCGCCCCACGCCTTCGTCGTCGCCTTCGAGAACGACGACGCGCCGGGCTACGTCACGGAGAAGCTCGCGCTCGCGCTCCTCGCGGGCGCGGTGCCCGTCTACTGGGGCCCGCCGACGGCCATCTTCAACGAGGACGCGTTCATCCGCTGCGGCGACGACCTCGGCGCCTGCGCGGCGCGCGTCGCCCACGTGGCCGCGAACTTCTCGGCCTACCGCGGCCTCGCGGAGGCGCCGCCGCTCGCGCCCGGGGGGCTCGCGCTCCTCGACGGGGCCGCCGCCGTCGCCGAGGCGCTAGCCGGGTTACGACCGGACCACTAGATGGTGATCGTGTCCTTCTCGAGCTCGTCGTCGACGTCGTCCCGCGCGGACTTGGGCCTGAGGATGTTGAGCACGCGGCGCTTCTGGGACTTCTCCGTGCCCTGGATCAGCGCGTCGATCTTCTTCGGGTAGACGCCGTTGACGCCGACGATGTAGTCGCCGACGCGCAGGATCTCGTTCTGGTACGCGTTCGAGATGGACGCGGGCGCGTCCTCGTCGACGTCGAGCAACACGAGGGCGCAGTGCGGCGCCTGGCGCCGGCCCTTCTTGCCCCGGAAGAACATGCGCGACCCCGCGAGCTTGTCGACCTTCTCCACCGTGAGGCCCAGCGCGATGGGCGGCTGGCGCTTCTTGGAGATCTCCAACACGACGACCTCGAACGCCGGCGTCGGCGCGCCCTTGAAGTCGCCGCCGGCGCCCCCGTCGTCGTCGCCCTCGTCGTCGTCGTCGTCGTCGCCCTCCTTCGTGTCCTCGCCGCCGTCGCCGACCTCCGTCCCTAAACCCTCCTCCTGGAGCTCCTCCTCGATCTCCTTCTCGAGCTCGGCCTCCGCGAGCTCGCGCTCCTCGTCGGAGCCCTCCTCCTTGTCCTCGTCCTCCTTGCCCCCCAGCAGCTTCTTCTCCTTGGCCTCGGCGGCGGCGGCCTCCTGGGCGAGCTGCTCGTTGCGCGCCATGGCCTCGCGCGCGAGGAGGATCTTCTCGGTTTCCAATTTCTTCTTCTGCGCGGTGTTGTAGGACCGGTCGCTGGACCGCCACATCTTGCCCTCCTTCTGGTCCTTTTTTTTCCAGAGCACGTTGAGCACGGCGACCTTGAGCTTGCCGAGCTTGGCCTCGTCGACCGTGCCCTTGTCCCGGGGCGCGTCGTCGTCGTCGCCGCCCTTGGACCCGCGGCGCTTGTCGAGCTCCGGGTTGAAGGCGGCGACGAGCTTGCGGCCCGTCGTCTTCTGGTCCTTCGTGCCCTGGTCGCAGATCTTGCAGAGCTTGCGCCACTCGTCCTCCGCGAGCTCGAAGCTGCCGTCGTCGCGGTTCCGCCAGCCGCCGACGCCGATGTCGCCGTAGACCTCCTTGAGCTCCTTCTCGAAGTAGGGCTTGAGCTGCTCCAGGGGCGCGGGGATGGGCTCGTTCTCCTTGAACTTGCGCTGGCCCGGCCGGTGGCGGCCGAAGAGCGGGTGCGGCGGGCCGTCGCGGTCGCTCCTCCCGACGGCCTGGAGCGTGAAGACCTCCTTCTCGTAGGCCGTGATGATCTCCTCGTGCTCGTGGCCCTTCTTCTTCTTCGCGCGCGCCCGCAGGAACTCGCCGTACTCGATGGACACGGTCTCACTGAACCACGTCGCCTTGTAGTCGACGTCGCCACTGGCCCCCTCGCCCTCGTCGCCCTCGGCGTCGTCGTCGCTCGCGGCGTCCTCGGGCTCCACGGTGGCTTCGTAGACGAAGGTCATGTCGTCCTGGGGCTTGGACCCCTCGGGGAGCGGGTGGGGCTCGTACTGGTAGGGCACGTGCTTCGCGGCCTTTTTGCGCGCGCGCTCGTTGTACTTGCGCTTGAGGCGCACGCGGCGCTCGTCCTCGTCGATCTCCTTGTCCCAGTTCGGGTCGATGAGCGTGACCTGCTCCCAGCGGTCGAAGACGGAGCGGCCGACCTGGCAGTAGACGCCGTCGGTGTTGAAGAAGAACGCGTCGTCAGACTCGAGCTCGTGCTGCAGCTTCGTGAAGTTGGCGAAGAACTTGTTGCGCAGGAACTTGCCGTCGGAGGCTAAGGAGGCGTCGGCGCCGGCCTTGGCGCCGCTCCCCGGGAGCTCGAACATGAGGTCGATGGACTCCTCCTTGCCGCCCTTGGCGCGGTTCCGCAGGAGCAGGGAGAGCACCTTCTCCGGGCTCTTGTGCTGGAGCAGGTCCCGCAGGAAGGGCGAGTTGTAGCCCCGCGTGATCGTGTGGATGTCCTTGAGGCGCCGCTGCTTCGACTTGAAGCGGTTCTGCGAGAGCACGAGGTACTCGCGCGACCCGTCGATGCGGATCGTGCAGGGCACGAGGATCTTCTTCGAGTGGCTCCAGCGGCTCAATGTGTAGCCCTTGTTCAACAGCGTCGTCCGGAAGTCCTCGTAGGCCTTCCACTCCTTCTCCTCCTCGAAGTTCCGCTGCTTCTCCTCCTTCATCGCGATCCGGCCGCGGTAGCCCCGCCAGATGCGCTTGATCTTCGTCGCCTCGCGCTCCATGATCTTCACCTCGCCGCCGATGCGCCGCCGCGCCGCCGCGCGGCGCGCGTTGAAGTTGCGGATGAGGTTGCCGATCTTGACGGCCGCGTCGAACTCCTCCTCGGAGATGAGGCTCGGCGCGAGGGACTCGCGGATGTCGTAGTTGACCCAGTGCTTCGACGCGAGCTTGACGCGCTCCGTCTCGTGCTCGAGCTCCTCGGGCGTCGGCTCCTTGGGCTTGGGCACGTCGTCCTTCTCCTGGAGGCCCAGGAACTCGTAGAGGCTGTCGGACCACGTCGCGGGCCTCCGCGACTTCAGCTCGCTCCAGTCGTCGACGTTGCCCTCGGCCTCGGCCTTGGCGAGCGTGTAGGCGTAGAGCTCCGTGAGCTCCTCGATGCGCTGCCGCTCCGCCTCCTTCTCCCGCTTGCGCTCGGCGTCGTCGCCGACGTCGAGCTGGTCCGCGGCGTTGAACAGGCTCATTTTTGGCGCCGGGGCGGCGGAACCGTCAGCGCCGCGATCCCCGGGGCGGACGTCGAACGAGCACCGCCGCCGGGGGCTGCGCGTCGGCGGCCCCGCAGGAAAAATCTCCCTATCGTGCGGCCACGATTACTTGTGACACAAAAGGGCAGCATGAACTCGATGCCGTCGACGTGAAGACGCGGCCGCGCCGTTGAAGCTTGTGCCGAGCTCCGCGCCGCAACTACAGGCGACGGCCCGAGAACGCGCGCGCTCGCGCCAACCGCACGACCCAACGATGCGTCGGCGGCATCTGGCGCTCCTGGCGGCCGCGTGCCTCTGCGTCGAACTCGCATCTTCCGACCAGAACGACGAGATGAAGAACCTGCTGGACCGCGTGACGCTCCTCGAGGAGCGGCTGCGGCTGACGAACATCCCCGAGCTCACGGACGACGAGGCCAACGAGCGGAGCCTGCTCGAGATCTTCACGGACACGATCGGCGACTTCGTCATGCACAAGCTGCTGCCTCGGAGCGACGCGGCGTGTCGGTGGAATTACGCCAAGTCGGTATGCGTGCCGCGCTGCGACTGCTCCTTCCAGCACCGGGCGGGGGACCTGACGCCGGGCCGCGCCTGCCGGCTGCGGCCGCCGGACGCGCACCGGGAGGCCTGCGACCCGGACGTGTCGGGCGAGCTCGGGACGCTGGAGAAGGCCGCGACGCTCGTTCGCACCGCGTCGGCGCGGTCCTGGGTCGCCGCGAACCGGTTCCTCGACGCCGCGGCGCCGCCGACGGACGCCGAGTGCGCCTGGAACTGGCGCCTCCGCTCCTGCGACCCGCCGGGGCGCTGCGAGCTCCGCTACCGCTTCGGCGACTACCACCTGGGCCGCGCGTGCCGCCTCGCGGGCGGCGCCGCCTTCGACGACGAGGACCTCTTCGACGCGCGGGACGCCCCCTTCGGCGAGGCGGACGACGACCGCGACGCCGCGCCGGCGGCGGACCGGTTCGGCCGGCCGCGGCGCGACGCCGTTCGCCGACGACGAGGCGGACCGCTTCGACGCGCCGGACGCCCCCTTCGACGCGGCGGCCCCCTTCGGCGAGGCGGACGACGACCGCGACGCGGCGGCGGCGGCGGACCGGCTCGGCCGGCGGGTGGGCGACGCCGAGTTCGACGCCTTCGCCGGCGCCGCCTTCGACGCGCCGGAGCAGGACCCCTTCGACGCGCCGGACGCCCCCCTCGGCGAGGCGGACGACGACCGCGACGCCGCGGCGGACCTGTTCGGCCGGGCGGACGACGACCGCGACGCCGCGGACACGTCCTAATCACGTTACCGCCTTGGGCTTGCCGTCGAAGAGCGTGCCCGGCCGGATGCCGAGGAAGGCCTCGAGGTCCGCGTTGCACGCGTCGAAGAAGGGCCGCCAGAGCGCGCGCGTCTCGGGGAGGACCTTGGACGTGCCGTTGTAGCAGCCCTCGAAGTGGCCGACGTAGCGGTCCGCCTTGCAGACGTTCATGACGGGGAGCGGCGTCGGCACGGCGTCGACGCCGAGGAAGGCCTGGATCTCCGCGAGCGCGCCGTCGCGGTGGTTCCGGAGCGTCTCGCTCTCGAGCACGAGGACGCGGTCCCGGCCGAAGGTGGCGACGTAGGTCTCGACGAGGTCGTTGTGGCACCAGCGCGTCGCGAGGGCCGACGCCGCCGGGTTTCCGGCGGCCGGCGCCTTCGCGAGGGTCCACGCGTGGAACGCCGCGCCGTCGCCCAAATACTGGCGCGACATGAGCAGGTCCGGCTGGGAGCGGATCGCCAAGATCACCTTGACGTTGGGCGCCACCTCGTCGATGAGCTTCGCCGTCGCCCGGAACCTGGGGCGGTCGCCGTACTCGGGCGTCGCGTCGAAGCCCCACGGCGGCGCGCCGGCGCTTGGTACCGCCGGGAACTGGCGCCGGTAGGCCGAGGCGTCGCGGGGCCGCCGCGACCGGCTGAAGAAGCGGTGCTCCTTCGTCGCGCCGTAGTCGAGCTGCGGGTGCGACTGGAGGTAGGCCGCGAGGTTCGCACTGCCCGTGTGGCCCCGGCCGGCGAAGATGAAGACAGGGTCGCAGCGCAGGAGCGCGCCGTCCGCCTCGCAGCCGCGCTCGAGGATGTGGGCGCGCGTCACGTTCGCGCCCAGGACGTGCGTGTAGCGCCAGGCCTCGGCGGCGGCGCAGGCCCACAAGAGAGGCCACCATGCTCGCATGGCAGCCCCGAATCTTTTGAAGTCGGCGGTGACGAGGGCTGCATCGACGATGGTGGTGAATCAAAAGCGCTGGCTGCGCACGGCGGCGGCGAGCCTCGCGAGCTACGTCTTCTTCTCCGCGGCGCTGCACCGGCTCCACCTCCTCGACGCGCCGCCGCCGTCCCGGCCGCGCGCGCCGCCGCGCGCGCCGCGGCCGCGCCTCAGCGGCGGCGCCCTCGCGTCGGGGCTGGCGCAGTGCGCGGAGCCGCAGCGGTGCCGGCCGCTCTGGCGCCGCGACGGCGCGCTCGCCCGGGCCCTGGCGCCCATGCTCGGCGGCGCCGACGCGGCGGCGCTGCCGCGGTGGCGCGAGAGCCACTCGCCGGACCGCGCGCTCGCACGGACGCGGCCGAGGCCCGCGGCGGCCGCGGCCGCGCCGGCGCCGACCGCCGCGGCCGCCGCCTGCGTCGCGGGCATCGACGCGCCCTTCGAGGACCAGGCCGCCGCCGTCGCGCTGGAGATTCTGGAGCGCACGGGCACGAACGAGGTCGCGTTCACGGTTTTAGACGAGGCCTACGGCGACATGCTCCGCGGCGTGAGCCGCATGGCGGCGCGCAACGGCATGGGCGCCCACTTCTTCTACGTGTCGCTCCACCGGGCCACGGCCGAGGCCGCCTGCGCCTTCGGGGACCGCGTCGCGTACCTCGCGCCGTCGCCCGAGGCGACGAAGAAGGACGCCGTGTACGCGCGCCCGCGTTGCTCGCGCGCGGTCGCGCGTCCCACGGCGTTTTTCCTAGGTACATGGGCAAGTACTACGTGGCCATGCTCCTCTGCGCGGCGCGCGTGCGCTTCTTCTTCTTCGAGATGGACGTCTGGCTGCCGCCCAAGGGCCCCGCGACGGTGCTCGACGCGTTCCGCGCGGCGGCCGACAGCTGGAACGGCGGGCTCCATACGGCGGCGGCCTGGGCGCTCCACGAGGACAACCCCTACACGATCAACATCGGCCTCTACTACGTGCGGAGCGACGTCGAGCCGCGGAACTTCGACTTCTTCGCGACGATGTTGTCCTACGCGCGGCGCCACCCGCTCGTCTTCGACCAGGGTTTGTTGAATTGCGTGCTCAAGCGCATGTCGTCGAGCAAGCGCCTCACCTTCATCCGCGAGCGCGACAACTGCCGCGAGCACCTCGTCGACGTCAACGACACCGCGCTCGTCAAATTGATCGCGGCGGCGCGGAACGAGCCCGACGTCGCCGCGTCGTCGCGGTTGAGCCGCAACTACAACTTCACCATGGTCGACGCGGCGGCGGCCGTGTCCTACGCGACGCCGTTTCTTTTCCGCGACTCGCTGGCCATGCACGTGCTCACGTCCATCCCCCTGAGCTCCGCGCACGGCAAGAAGACCGTCGCCAAGGAGATGATGCTCTGGGAGGGCGACGACGGGTACTACGCCGTGGGCGGCGGTCGGCGCTACGTCATGCTCGACGGGTCCCTCGCGCCGCCGACGGGCGCCGACGACTTCCGGGTCCTCGCGGCGCGCGTCCGCGAGCTCGTCGCGTTCGCGGCCGCGACGAATCGGACCTTGGTGCTGCCGCCCGCGTGGCACCTCGCGCGGAAGCTGCCGAGCTGGGAGATCGTCGACACGAAGAGCCTCGACGAGATCGGCGTCGACTGGCGCGAGGCGACGTTCCTCGAGAACCCGCGGCTCGCCGTCGACGACGCCGCGGCCTTTGTGCGCGTCGCCGCGACGCCTACCGGCGCGGCGGTGCGCGACGTCCGTGCGGCGCGCGACGGCGCGGGCGGCGCGACGGCCTACTACGACGCCGGCGGCCTCGCGACGCGGTCCGAGCGGCTCCGCTTCCTGCTGGCGGCGCACGACGGCGACGCGCGCGCGGCGGCCGCGGCCGTCGTCCTGCTGGGCCTCGACGGCGACCGCGGCCGGCCCGCGCCCCCCGGCGACGGCGCGCCCCACGCGGCGCGGCCCCGGGACCCCGACGGCGACCCGGAGCCCTGGCTCGCGGCCGCGGAGCAGGCCGCGCGCTACTGCGGCTACAAGCATCGCGAGAAGCGGCGCGTCGCGCTCCTCGCGAGCCACCTCGAGTGCGGCGCGCAGCTCGCGACGGAGGCCAAGCTCCAGCGGCACCTCGCCGCGAAGCGCGCGGCGCGCCTCCGGAACAAGGAGCTCCGGGCGAGGGGCCTGCCCGAGGACGCGGACGACGAGGCCGCGGACCCCTACGCGGAGGTGCCGGGCGACGAGGTCGACGACGGCGCCAAGCCCGACATGCTCTCGCGGCCGGGCCGCCAGCGCCGGAGCGCGGCCTTCGCGGCGCGCCTCGCGGACGTCGTGTCGCGCCTCGCGCCGCCGAAGCCGCCCCACCGCCGCGTCTTCGGGCCCGTGCCCAGCGGCTTCGCGCGCGACTTCGGCTTCTGGCAGCCGGGCTTCTCCGAGCCCGACGCGCTCTCCTAACGACTCTCGGGGTGTTTTTTTTTCTACCCCGCGTATCGTTACGCCGCGGCCTTGTCGACGGAGCGCTTCTTGAGGTCGAGGAAGACCATGGTCTTGGAGCGCTTGCCGACGCCCGGGTCGCTGCCCTGGTCGTCGTTGAGCTCGTCGAGGGCGTCCTGGGGGAGGAGGGCGTCGGAGGCGATCTTCGTCATGGTCCGCGGGCTCAGGCGGCGCCGCGAGAACTCGTCGAGCGCGCGGCCCGTGAGGAGGCCGCCCTTCTCGAGGACGCCCATGCGCGCGCTCCGCCGCGCGTCGTAGGCGGCGACGCACTCCTCGAGGCTCAGGCTCGCGTCCACGACGACGCGGCGCTGGGGCGCGTCGAGCTTGAGCTCCATGGTCCGCCTGTGCCGAAAGGTTATTCTAGCCAAACTTCAAACCTCTCCAGCTCGGTCACATCGAAGTCGATTCGGCTGATTTTTGGACGAATCGATCGCTCCCATCGAGCTCTCCACGGAGATTAGACCAATTCGCGTCGGAACGGTCGCATACGCTCACATTGAAGTCGGGTGGAAGATGTGCGTTCGGCCCGGCGGTCCGCGGGTCCCAGACGCACTCGGGGAAGAACGGGAGGATCGCGAGCTCCGCGGCGTCCTCCGCGAACTGGCCGTCGACGAGGGAGATGGCCTCCGGCGGGAGCTGGACGCCCTCGAGCCAGTCGTTGCGCGCGACGGAGGACCCGGGCTCCGAGGGCGCGAGCGACTCGCGGTCGTCGTCGCCGCCGTCGTCGCCGCCGTCCGGGGGCGGCGCGGCGCCGCCGTCGTCGGGCGCCCCCAGGTCGTCGCGCGACGCCACGCCGAAAAGCTTCGCGAGCACGTCCTGCTTCGCCTCGGCCTCGTGCCGCGCCTTGGCCCGGTCCTCGTCGACGAGCCGCTCCGCGACGTCGCCGGCCTCGATCTCGACGCGCGACGGCGGCAGCAGCTCCTCGCAGGTCACGCCCCGCGCTAGCAGCGGCAGCCGCTCGTAGCGCATGCGGCAGATGTGGTCCCGGAAGTCCTTGGACGGCAGGATCGTCGCGCTGCAGCGCAGGTGCGTCCGGCACGACCGCGCGGCCTTGTCCTCGCTCACGCCGTCGCGCTTCCGGGGGTCCGCCCGCAGCGCGTCCTCCTCGCCCTGGATCTGGAAACTGAGGAAGATGCGGCCCGTCTTCGCCGCGAGCAGCTCGAAGGTCAGCTTCACGGAGACGCCCGGCGCGAGGCGGCCGCGCGGCGTCACGCAACGGACGTAGTCCGTCGTGTCGTTCAGCGCCTCCTTGCTCCGCTTCGTCATGAGCTGGATGCGCCAGCGCATGCCGCTGCAGCTCAGGTTCGTCAGCGTCTTGCTGCACTGGTAGCGGTAGCCCTTCTTCACCGTGCCGAAGCTGCAGTCCGGGTCGCTGAGCTTGAGGTTCAGCGCGAAGGCCTTCGTCGCCTCGAGGCCGATCATGGACTTGCGCGTCTCCCGGCTCCCCAGCGTCCCCGCGGACTGGCCGATCTCCGTCGCCCGCGCCTGGGACAGCGTCATGCGCGGCATGGCGGACGCGAGAGGGCGCGCCGCAGCGCGGCAGACTGTTAGCAGCCCGTTGTTGCCCTAGGCATACCATGCATCATGCACGGATCGATCCCTGTGTCCTTGAACGGTTTCTTGCGTAGAATCGGAGCCTGACGATGGGGGCAGCCCGGTGAACTCTCGCGTCCCAGCGCTCATGGCGTCGCTGGAGGGGAAAACCAAGAAGAATGGGTCCAACGGGGGGCTCGAGGCGAGCGCCAGCCCCCGCAGCCGCCGCAAGAGCGCGTCCAAGCGGGGTGTGACCAAGCGCAAATCTAAGAAGAAGAAGGGCACGAAAAGCCCCCGGTCCGCGTCCATGGGCGAGCAGGAGGGCGAGAAGGCCATGAGCGAGCAGGAGGGCGAGAAGGAGGAGGAATCGAGCTGGTGGTGGTGGTTCTTCTCGCCCGCGCCCGCGCCCGCGCCCCCGTCGCCGCCTTTCGTGGCGTTGGCTGTGTCGCTCGACGAGGACCCGACGCGGGATTCGCTCGACGAGGTGCCGATCTGGGGGGGGGTGGCGCGTTACGAGTCGCCCGCATCGGATGGGTCCCGGACTTCTCCGTCGAACAAGGAGATCGGAGATGACCTCGAGGCGCTCGATTCCTCCTTCTCCGGCGCTCACTTTTGCGTCGGCGGCGACGACGCCTCCTGCGGCGCGTCGTGCTTCCCAGTCCAGGACGTGTCGTGTACGGACGTGTACACGTTGCCGGAGATCGTGTCCTTCGAGGACTGGGAAGCCGTGTTCCGCAAACCGGGCACGAAGAACGCCTACGCGACGGCGGACCTACGACTGCAAAAGCGGGCGGTCTTCGAAGCGACGGTCCGGCGCATCAAACAGCGCAAGAGCAACGGCGCGTCGGGTCGGATCGGCGTCAACCAGTTCTCCGATTTGACTCCCGAAGAATTCTGGGCGCTCGCGGACGTCTCCAACGACGAACCAGCCGCGAAACCGAATTTTTTCTGTTTGGGTTCTACGTTGTGCGTAACCTGAGGAGGATAGGAGAGGGCAACGGCCAGAGGGCCTACCAGGGGGGGGCTGGCACTTCAGGATGGACTTGCCCTTCGCCGTCAAAGACTTCCGTCGAGGCGGCCTGAGACTCAGGTGCTGTAGTCGCAGGACTTCACGATTCCCGTTGTTGCAGTGCCCCGCGGGAGGCGATCGTGCTCGACCCAGCAGGGGCGCCCCAAACGACGTCGCGCGCGCCCCCGAACGTCGCGCGCCGTCCGCCGCGCGCCGCGCCGTCCGTTTCGCGCTCATGTCTCTCGCCACGGGCCGCCTGCGCGAGGAGCGCAAGGCCTGGCGCAAGGATCACCCCGTGGGCTTCGTGGCGCGGCCCCGGAACGCGCCCGACGGCTCGACGGACTTGATGGTCTGGGACGCGGTGATTCCAGGCAAGAGCGGCGGCCTGTGGGAGACAGTGTCGGCGCATAGGCGCCTACGCAGGCGCCTACGCGCCTACGTAGCCTCGTCCGGAGCCTACGGACGGACCTACGCGCCCTCGCAGGTGGGACAACTGCGAGCTCAAGCTCGAGCTCACGTTCGGCGACGACTACCCGGTGACCGCGCCCATCGTGAAATTCAAGCCCATCCTCTGGCACATGAACGTCTGGGCCGACGGCCGCATCTGCCTCAACCTGCTCAACGCCGAGGACGGCACGTGGCACGGCAAGTGGCAGCCGTCGATCACGATCAAGCAGGTGCTCCTCGCGATCCAGGAGCTGCTCGACAACCCGTTCCCCGCGGGCGCGCGGCCCGAGGTCCAGGGCATGTGGGAGAAGAACCGGCCCGCGTACGACAAGCGGATCAAGGAGGAGGCGGCCAAGTACCGCGCCACGAGCGACGTCATCGAGATCGAGTAAGGCGTGGGTGCGAACGGGGGGGGACACGGAACGCCGCCGACTCTTAGCGCGCGGTCCGCCGCGCGACGTCGAGGACGGGGGGCGCGTCGAGGACGTCGTCGGGCACGAGCGCCGCGGCGCGCTCGAGGATCTCGCGGACGCCCGCGTCGCCGCCCTTGGCGAGGGCGTCGACCTCGCGCTTGAAGCGGCCCGCGCCCGGCGACCCGTGGAAGAGGCCGAGCGCGGGCTTGAGGAGCGCGCGCCGCGGCGACCAGTCGGCGCGCGCGTGGTCCGCCTCGAAGGCTGCGGCGTAGGCCGCGTAGGCGCCCAGGAGCACGTCCCTCCGGCTCGCCGCCGGGTCCGCGTCCGCGCCGAAGAGCGCGGAGTCGACGTTCGCGTAGTACCAGGGCCTCTTGCAGACGTCGCGGCCCGCCATGACGCCGGCGACGTTCCCCTCCGACCGGTCGCGCGCGCTCTCGTAGGAGGATATCTCGCCGTTGGAGACGACGGTCAGCTCGGGGAACTCGTCGGCGAGGCGCGACACGAGCCGCGGCTTCAGCGGCGGCACCTTGCGGTTCTTGTCGGGCGACAGGCCGCTCAGCACCGCGACGCGCGCGTGCACGACGAAGTGCGCGCAGGTCCCGCGGGCCGCGACCGTCGACACGAAGTTGGCCAATCCCGCGTAGAGCGCCTCGTCGTCGTCGACCATGTCCGACACCGTGTCGCAGACCCCGACGCGGCACTTGACGGACACGGGCGCGTGCTCCGCGAGCGCGTCGACGCAGTCGGCGACGAGCGCCGCGTCGCGCATGAGCGCCGCGCCGAAGCAGCCCTGGCCCGCGACGCGGTCGCTCGGGCAGCCGCAGTTGAGGTTCACGCCCGCGTAGCCGCGGGGCGCCGCGAGCCGCGCCGCGGCGCCGAGCTGCGCCGGGTCCGCGCCCCCGAGCTGGAGCACCGTGCGCCCGGCGTCGTCGTCGTAGCCGAGCCAGCGCGCGCCGTCGCCGTGCCGCGGCGCGCCGGCGCCGTCGACCAGCGTCGCCGCCGTCACCATCTCCGTGTAGAGCACGGCCTCGCGCGACAGGAGCCGCAGCAGGTAGCGGAAGTGGCGGTCCGTGTAGTCCATCATGGGCGCCACGCTGAAACGCTCCAGGGGCAGCGGCGCGACGAGCGACGCGCCGCGCCGCGCGCAGGCGCCGAGCATGATGAGGATTGCGGCGCGCATCAATGGGCGGCAGCCGCGCCCACCATCGCCTGTTGAAGGTTTGGTTTAAAGTTTGAAGCAAAAGAGAGCAATGCTTGTGGCAAATCGTGCTGAGGCAGGCGCATTGGAGGCGCAGCGCAACCGATAAAACTCGCGCCGAGGCGCCCATGTGGCGCGCGCTCTCGCTGCTCGCTGGCGCGACCGCCCTCTACCGCGTCGAGATCCATATTGCGGGGCGGCAACCAAACAAAAAAGACTGGGAGGCCCAGGCCGTCGACGAATACGCGACGCGCCTGCGCGGCACCGTCGACGTGACGACGACGTGGTACAAGACCGGCGCGAGCCTCGAGAAGCGGCTCGGCGCGCTCGCGCCCGTCGTCTGCCTCGACCCGCGCGGCGAAAAAGCCGACAGCGAGCGCTTCGCGGAGTTGCTCTTCGACGGCCTCGACGCGGGCGGCTCGCGCATGCACGTCGCCATCGGCCCCGCCGAGGGCTTCTCCGACGAGCTCCGGCGGTCTTCGACGCTGCTGAGCCTGTCAGAGCTCACGTTCCCGCACCAGGTCGCGCGCGTGCTCCTCGCGGAGCAGATCTACCGCGCGGCCGAGATCCGCCGCGGGAGCGGCTACCACAAGTAACTAGGCGTCGGCGCAGTAGGCGCGCGCGCGCGCCGCGGCGGCCGCGCCGCAGCCCGGGAGGTCGAGGAGGTCCGCGTTCCGGAGCTCGCCGCACAGCGTCGACGCGGCCCAGACGTGGAGCGTCGCGTCGTGGCGGTTCCTGGGCAGCACAAGAGTGACTCAACGTCGCTTCAACGTGAGTGTTCCGCGCGCGCGCGTTACGGAAAACACATCCACGCTTCGAGACCGTTCCGAGAGATGATCGCTCGTCCAAAAATCAGCCGAAACGAGTGGAAACTGGCCGAGATCGGAGCCTTTGAAGTTGGGAATTTCGCTCTCTTGTGCTGCCCCGGGCGGTTCGCGTCGAAGGCGCGCCGCGCGAGGCCGTCGTCCGCCGCGAGGGCCGCGGCGAAGGCGCCGTACTGGGGCGAGTGCTGCGCGCGGACGCGCTCGAAGTCCGCGGCCACCAGGGGCACGCCCGCCAAACGCCCGAGCAGCGCGACGGAGTGGTCGAAGAGCTCGAAGACGCCGACGACGGCGAAGGTCCGCGTCGCGACGTCGATGGCCGCGAAGACGTCGTCGGCGCCCACGGGCGCCGCGTCGTAGGGGAAGCGGTCCTTGCCGAGCATGCGGACCTGCACGTTCTGGTAGTGCGGCATGTCTAAAAAATCCGCGAAGCTCGCGTAGCCCGCGTGGGTGGCGTTGGGCGGCTTCAGGTGCCACCGCTCGTCGGCGCGCTTCCGCTCGCTCCACTGCGTCGCGCCGGGCACGTGGAAGCAGTCCCAGTTCGGGTTGTGGCACCGGTAGTGCCACGCGGAGACGACGCGGCCCAGGGGCTCGCGCACCATGGTCACGGCGCGGATGTTTCGCGTCGACGGCCGCGCGGCGTACATGCGCAGCGACGGCTGGTGGCCGTGGCAGTTGACGAGCGCCTGGCAGAGGCGCGGCTTCGGCTTCGCGCGCTGGCAGAAGCCCGGGTGCTCGCAGCAGTCGCTCGTCGGGCCGTTGGCGACGCAGGCGAAGCGCCGCAGGGCCGCCGTGAGGGCCGAGCCGCCGCACTTGGGGATGTGGACGAAGAGGAGCCGCCGCGCGCCCTGCGACTCGACCCAGAGCCCGCCGCCGGCCGCCGGCTCCGCGGGCCGCGTCGCGTTTTCGAAGCATGCGGCCGTCGCCCGCGCGCGCGCGTCGTCGCCGCGCCGGTCCGGCGGCGTCGCCGGCTTCGTGCCGCCCTTGGCGACGGGGATGGACGCGAGCTTGAGGCCCGCGATCTCCGCGAACTGGCTCGCGACGCCGACGAGGACCGCGTTTGCGGCCGCCGGAGGCGCCGACGGGGCCCGCGCGGCGGGCCGCTTCGCGGCGACGGCGGCGGCGAGCGCCTCCCGGTTCAGCGCGGCGACGACGCGCGTCGCCTCGTCGCGCGCGGCGAGGGCCGCGTCGCGGGCGCGCACGGCCTCCTCGAACTCCGGCGACGTCACCCAGGACACGTCGCGCGCCGGCGCCTGGGACACGGCCGCGCGGTGCAGCCAGTGCTGCACGACGACGACGCCGACGACGAGCGCGCCGG